AAACAATTCTTCTCCATTATTTTGAATATAAAACCCCCTTTTTTTTATTCGACCCTGAAGTGTACTTCCAAATAATATATTACTTCATGACTATGTGCCAGTTTGTCCTACGAAGTGAACTGTGAATGATTCAGTAATTCCAAAGAGGTATTGTGTGGTTTCAAATCAATATATTCGTCAGATAACATAATTAGGCCTTCAACAACTGTACTTTATTCATGAAATCGAAACATAAAGAAAAAAATTTATAGTAACTCATTGACAAAAAAGCCTCACTTTGATAAAAAAAAATAGCATTGACGAAATATCAATTAGAAAAACAGTTTGATAACTTGTGTAAAATGGAAATGATTTCATTCACGAATAATATATATAATAATAATATGAATTCATTCAATTTTCAGTACAAGGATCAGTCAATAACAATTTGAACAATCTGAACAAATTCAGGAAACCCACAAAGGACACCATGTGTCTGATTTATGATCACATTATAAATCAGAACAATGAGAGTGAAATGGATTTGACAATTCAGGTTATGAAAATGTAAGGTTGTGGAAATCTTAAATGTTAAAATGTAAAAATATATTCATGTTAGAATTTAAAAAGGTGATATATAAAAATAGAATGCAAAAAAAGTAAAAATGGTATATGTTAAAATGAAAATGCAAACAAAAAGTATAAAAATTGGAACAAATGTATTGCTTTGAAATGTGCCATTACTCGAATTGATTATAAAATATTAATGATGGAAAGAATCTTATTCAAATATTTGGCAAATGAAATCGAATTCCCTCAGAGTAGCATTCCTCGAACTAGACTGAAGCGGACAACAAACAACAAGTTTATAATCGCCCCATCCGCCTGTGAACGAAGTAACCGACCGCATATCCGAATTTTGCCAAATTCCTCGTATAAGAAACAAAATTACACAAATTGAGTGCCTGTAAATGAAATTTCCTGAAAGAACAATTCGTTCAGGTTAGTCTCAACTTACCTACACTCTAGGTTAATAGACTGACACCTATCAGAAAATAACTACTCCCCTGGCTAATATCGATTGTTCTTTAAGGAAATTTCATCATTTTCCAACTCACCCTCTTTCTAATCTTCTCCTTCAAGAACGGTTTCAACACCGCCACGACAGCGTCGAAGTAGAACGGCTCGTTAACGATGTGGAAACCCTTGAACCTCAGGGGGAAAGTTTCCTGCACCAGCTCCACCATTTTCCTTGCGTAATACGGCGTGAAAAACTTGGCGTGCTGTAAACTTAGTCCCGCCATATCCAGGATTACCACGATCCCGGCTATCTGAGTTTCCGCCTCGCGCACGATGTGTTCCAAGGCCAAGACGTTGGTGCGGAAAATTTCGTCTATTGTCACCTTGTTGGAGTCGAAGTTATCTGGAAGATACAGGAGTGCAGCTGAATCAGGCGCATTTAATTTAGATAACATGAAAATTCGTTGGAATGGAAGTTCCTCAATTGAAAACAGTCCTTCCACACCTGGGTTGCTTTTGAATATACCAGATTGTGCCCGAACATTCTACCACATTCCAGAATACTCCGGGATGTTGTTGAGTGTTGTGAAATGCTTTAAAACTTCTCCAAACTATCTGACATGTCGGAGAATATTCGGACGTAGTCTAAAAGGTTCGGTAAAATCCCCCATTGAGAAACGATAGGGGTAGTTAGAGGAAGTAGTAGATCTACAAGTGTGGTCCTAGAGGTAGCCGCCTCAACAGAGAAAACAAAAAAAATTTGAAATCTCCATGCAGCTCTATTCACTTCTGCCATCTACGTTCAATGAGTTCGATATCATTTTTATAATAATGTTACGTGTTTCTCCCGTGGGTTCACCAATAATTGACTACACTGAATATTCAAACTTAACTTTGTTTCACTTGAACAAACACCTCAACTGAAAATCACTTCGCGTACCGCACTGTAACATCCACTTCACTGTGTACTTGACTGTCCGAATAGGCTTGCAGCCAGCGTTTAAATATCGCAATGGAAAATCGTAGAATTTTCGCCGAAGTTCCATCGACATCGGTAGCATATTTCTTGCTGCTTCTCGAGCGGCAGGTAACATTGGATATTCCCACGCTTTCAGCTACGTCACGTTTGGTTTATGGTTACCAGTGGCGGCCAGCGTTATTTCCTTTCGGGCATGATTTACAATAATAAGAACTGTCTTTCTCCTCATTAACTGCCGACATTACTTCTTCATCGTTGGAAATACTTTGACGATAGAGCCATTTTTTCAAGTTGGGAAACAGAAAATGCTCCGAGGGGGATAAATCTAGCGAATAGGGTACATGAGGTAGCAATTCAAACTTTGATTCGTTAATTTTGGTCATTGCGATAATGGATTTGTGAGCTGGTGTATTGTCTTGATGAAACAACATTGTTTTCTTAGCCAACAATACAATATCATATATACATATATCACTATCGTACATCAAGTAGCTTTGAATCTCTAAAAATATAATTAGAGGGGTAGTCATTCTTTATATTGTACATAATTTTATTTTATTTTTTTTAAATACCTCAGATTTTTTCAGGTGGACGTCTAATATGCCACCCCAACTGAGTATGACATATTGAAGCCTAGATTGTACCAATGCGTAGTATATTATTTTGAGGTGATTGATATCGAGAGTAGAGAGAACATCATTCCACCAAGGACTCCAATAATCAGAACAACCATCTTGACAGAGTGATCTGGATAGAATCTGCGGAGTTCGAAAAGAAAATCTCGATATTTTATCCGTTTTTCCTCCTCCCCCGGAGCGTAGGGCAACACCGGTGTCTCGTCAATACCGTAAGAGTGTCGTAGATGGTAATATAGCACTCTCAGGGCTGCGTTTTGTTGATGGATATAGGCCGAGACCACATATGCTGGACATGCTGATAGCAAGTGCATTAGAGTCTCGGGCGCCTCGCGGCAGGCCCCGCACCTTGTGTCAGGAACCTGTATACCCATCACGCGACTGCGGTAGACTAAGTTGTTGAAGACACCATCCTGGCAAGCCATGATGAACCCCTCAGTCTCCGACTTCAGTCCACTCGACCTGAGAAAAGCGAAGGTCAGGCGCTTTGATAAGCCAAGGTCTCCAATGTTATTGAAGGAGACGCCATGCATTGGCTTATCCTTGTGTTTCCGCAGAAGTAGGGTAATCTCTGCGGCTTTTATCTGAGCTTTTTGCTGAACAGGTTCCAACTCGGGTCAGAGTTGTGGTCACCTCGTTCAGTGTCGAGAACTAAACCAAGTTCATCAGCTGCTCGGGCAGCTGCCCTAAAGAGAAATGCTCAAATTCCTGCTCTCTCAAGGTCACGGACTATGCAGAGAAGGGGATCCTAACTCCTGACGACTTTACAGGCTGTATCCGGCACCATTCTGTCATGTAGACACTCCAAACTCAAAAGTCCACGGCCTCCCTGTTGTTGGAGGAAGTACAACCGTGGAACGGACGATTTGGGATGTAAACTCCTATAGAGATGTATCATTTTCCGGGTCTTCTCGTCGAGTTGATACAGCTCCTCCCGAGTCCACTTCACTACTCCAAACGAGTAGAGTAAGATTGGAACGGCAAGCATATTTGTTGCAGCAACTTTGTTCTTCCCCCACAGTTTCGATGACCAGATCTGTCGAAGTTTGTGCTGATACTTGCTGCGGAGAGAGTTTTTCACTGCTGTTACCTCTTGTGAGTGGCGTTGTTCCACTCCGAGGTAAGTATACGTCTCTCCGGCATCCAGATGGTGTAAGATGCTTTCATCTACGAGCTGCACATCCTCTCCGTAGTCCTCGCATCGTCCTCTTTTGAAATGGACCATTGCACATTTGTCTATCCCGAATTTCATCCCGATAGCATGCGTGTACTTTTCCACCACCCTCAAGGACTGATGGAGATCCTTCTCTCCAGAGGCATAAAGTTTAAAATCATCTATATAAAACAAATGGGTAACTTTGTGCCTCCGGTTTCCGGGGGTGCAACTGTTATACCCTCGAGTGTTTCTGAGCGCAACGGATAATGGCAATAGTGAGATGCAGAAGAGAAGGGGACTGAGGAAATCACCCTGAAATACCCCCTCTTCGGAAAGTGACCCGCCCTGTTTGGACTCCTGCTTGACCAGATGTTATGGTAAAGCGAGTTCGCCAAAATGGTATCAGTTGATCATTGGGTTTGGGATTATTCTTTTGTCTTGGGTTTCAAGTGATGACCCATGATTCATTGAAGGTTATGAAACGACGCAAGACTTCTGCTTTGTTGCTGCTTTGCCACACACTCAATTCAAACATCTTCACGGCACTGTTTTTGCTCGAGTGTGAGCAAACGCGGTACCCATCTTACAGCTTCCTCATGTCCAAGTTTCCAGAAGATATACGATATACGGCACTTTCTGAAATGCCTACCAGTTCCGCTAGTTCGCGCACTTTCAGTCGACGATCATTCAGTACCGCTTTGTGGATTTTCTTCACCGTTTCTGGAGTCTCCACCTCATCTAGTCGACCACTACAATGTTCGTCTTGGCAGCTCGTACGTTCTTGTTCAAACTCTGCTATCCAATATTTTACTGTTGTTAACGAAGGAGCAGACTCGCCCAGAGTAGAATCCAGCACAGCTTCCATATTGATTGGGCTAAGGCCTTTTATATAAAAGTATTATACCCCATAACGACGACCATTTTTCTTAATTTTTACAAATTCACCGTTCGTTTTTGATGGCTGCCAAACAAATACTCAACATCTCAGCGTCTTCAAACTCGAAACATCACTCCAACAATTTCTGGGACCACCCTCGTATGTTACCCATTCATGCAAAATGGTTCTCTGGACCAAGTTATCAGCATGTGGAGATGGATGAGACCAAATCCTTCAACTAACTTCATATGTATCTAAACATGAGTATCATACCAAGAACCACACGCAAAATGATCGAAGTCTGCAATGAAACTTACCTACTCGTATCATGAATATCCGTCTTCCCAACCGATCTCTCTGGGGCAGCAAATTTTGTGCCTGCAGATCAAATATGTGGCTACACTGAGAAGGTAGAGGGCAGCCAAAAAGTTCTGGACATCGGATTTTCATCAAAAAGTACCTCTGCAGCTGAAAAAATTGAAATCAAACATTTCACAGCCTGGTAGTTGACAAATAAGTAGTGAAATATATCAGAGCTTCAACATAAGCTTCGAATAGAACCAAGTGGGGATTATCACTTCTACAATTCGCATTTTTTTTCAAGGGGACAAAACACAAACACTACAGCTTCTCAACTTCTGAGAAGGAGATTTTGAAATTCCAGCAACATGATTGTGCTAAGACATATTGGTGTTTTGGTGGTTTGTTTGTCCTTGGATATGGATTCCTGAGGAACACCAGCGTTGATGGTATGTGTGAATATGTGTGAAATGCAGAAGATGAATTTCTAATAATTTTCATAAAAAAAATGAATAAACTGTTCACTCACCATGTGGAAAGCTTTCTTGCTATCAAATTTTCTAGCCCTAAGGAACCTCACCAAAAACTGATCGTAGTTAGGCACTGCCAAATTTGTGTCATCTGCAAAAAAACATTGTTTTCATCATTTAACATACAAAGTCCACGTCGGACCAAAAAACTTTAGGTATATAAACAGCTAACCCTTGTCTTTACATTCAGTACCAATTTGCTTCTCCTGAAGATGCTAACCTTGTTAGCGAAACGCGCGTCGAGTGCAAAAATATCAGTTTGGTGTTAGGGTAATTGATCTCTCGGAAAAGTTTTCAACTTTCACACCAAAAGTTCCAATCTCATCGTTTAAACCGATTTTTGTGAAAATCTTAGTGTTTTTTGGTACTTTCATCACTATGGCTTTATGGAGACCTTTTGAAACAAATGATAACATTACGTGTGAGGAATCTGTGTCAATCGACAGGGATCCGGAATTTGTAAATAATGACTTACATGTTCAAGTTCAGCGAGTAATTTAAAATATTCATGAATGCTTGAGGAACGAAAACTGTCTTACTTCACAGAATGCTATTGTGAGTAGAATATGCGAGTTAACGAAACTATCTCGTTCGACAGTACTTCGAGTCATTAAAATAGGGGATGTCATTGACCATGCAATGAAACGAAAACAAAGGAATAAAAAATTCGCAGATGTTGATGGTGCTACAAAAGATGTAAGTCGACGAACAGTTTATGGTATATACCAAAAAAATGAAGTACCAACCTTGGAAATGATTTGGTATAAATTACTCGACTATCCCCATTACAATTTAAATGGTTTGGGCCACAATGAAAGAAAGCTTGCGGAAATGTAATCAGTCACCGACTTTGAATGATGTAGTGCTTGACAATATAAGGCGAATGGAGAATGAAGTAGTTAATAAAGATGTGTGGAAGAACTGTGTGGCCCACGTTATAAAAGAAGAGAACAAATATTATGTGCAAAATTCCATAAATCCGATCGCTATTCAACCCGATGATGATTCAACCTCATCCGAATATAGCGAAGAAGAATTTTGATTTTTTTAGCAATTTTGTTCGCTTCTATCATTTTGTAAAAATATGTTTGACGAGAATTCGGTGTGATTATTTGTGTTTCCATTGTATTTTAGAGTTTCCGACTCGGAAATCAACTACCTTAAATTTCGAAGTTTTTCATAATTACCCATGGAGGAAAAATTCAGTTGAGATAACTTTTTCATGGGGTGATCAATTGCTATGATTGTAAGAATAAGTAAATGAAAAACTACCACTGAAAAATAATATGCCGACGCCCATGCCGAGGCGGGAATTCCTTCTCTGTGGTGTTCCAGTTGGTATTGGAAATACTATATTTGATTGTTTTTTCTTTCTTTTGTATTCTATCTGAAACTTTATATAATGTATTGGAAACTCTTTCTATTGCTGGTAAACAAACATATTATTATTATATTAGTAGAGTTATTCTAAAAATACCCGTCCAATATTTTGATCTGACATATTTTAGACATGTTAGACAATTTTTACTTGGACTAAAATGATTCTTCAATTTTGGGACACCCGGTATAATGGACTGTGCAATATTCATGTTTTCTAAATTTCTGTTTCTTGGAAAATCAACTTATATATCATGAAAAATACCCTACTTTCAACCATACGACGTAAAGCCGCTAGTTCCCGTTTGAAAATATCAGGAGTTTCATGTAATTCCTCTTCTGCTATTCTAATCCAATCGCTGCTATCTTTTGAAATGGATCCATCTGGGTTGGTATTGCAGATCTGGACATTTTGGGGTGAACTTTCCATTAGCATTACTGAAAAAACACATAAAATACGTTTCAAAAACTACAGCTCACAATTTGATTTCCACAAACTTTATTTGAAAAAATATAATCACTAGCACACGCTAGCACAGTAGCTTTCTCAAGTGTACGAATAATTCAAATTGTTCTTGCATTAATATTCATATACTTCAGGTAACCATAATTGAGACTATCTCCAAAAATTACCTGTACCTTTACCTAAGGTACTTGCTGAATTATGATTACCTAAAGCATATTACCACACACCTTCACCAATAATAATTCTTTCCCGGATTTTAAGAAAACAAGTTCAATAATGGTGATCTATTCAAATCTAGTTGGTCATTAATTAGAATGTTTGAATTTTTAAGTTCATTAATTTCCATTGCTTCCAAATGATTCAGTTTCAAACCTTTATTTTCTATGTGCAAAATTTCGGACTCTACGTTAAAGATATGATTTTCTTCTAGAAGATGATTTGAATATGTTGAATTTGTTTTCTTATTTACATAGCTCGTATGATGTTCCTGGATTCGATTCCTAAATGTTCTGCCAGTTTGACCAATATATACCTAAGGGCACGTTCCACACTTCAATTTATATACTCCTGATTTCTCGGATGATTTCTTGGATGTCTTGTCTTTATTATTTCTAACTAACTTTCCCAAACTTGTTTTATATGCAATTTTAATATCTCGTTTCCTCAAAAATGAAGCCACTTTTTCAGTTGGTTGTCCAAAATACGTTAAAGCTCTATAATTTTGATTATCTACCTTATCAATAGGAATCGCTTTTGCGTAGACTTTCTTGGCAAGTATTTTGTTAATTAATTCAGCTTTAAACCCATTGTTACCCGCAATTCGCTTGATTATATTAAGTTCCTTATTGAAATTATCTGTTGAAAGAGGAACATTAACTAATCTGTGAGTCATGCTATTATAAGCTGCTACTTTGTGTTGATAAGGATAGGTAGAATCGTAATGTATAGTAATATCCGTATTGGACGGTTTGTAATAAATTGAAAAATCATGTTTGTTGTCCTTTCTACTAATTGTTAATCCCAAGAAATTGATAGAGTTGTCTGCTTCTATTTCATGAATTTTGTTAATATCCCTATGAAAAGTACGGAGTGGTAATCATGCCTAAACCTCCGTATTTACCAGATTCGGTCCCCTGCAACTTTTTTTTGAAGATTGAAAAGAGCCACGGAAGGATGGCATTTTGGGATGATTGACAAGAGCTCAAGGACATAGCAAAAAGTTGGAAGAGGGTTGGAAGAACCGCTGGAACAAATGTATCACATCTGACGAAGATTACACTGCAGGGGACAAATAGAAATTGATGAATAAATGGATATTTCTTGGAAAAAATTGAAATTCACTTTATTTTCTGATGTTTTCCATTATTTGTTTGCGAAAGATGAAGTTACCAAAAAACAAAACTAATAACAATCGTCTGTACTTGAACCTTGCGGATTATTCATCACTTTGAATCGCCATAGCCCCTGTATATCAAATTTGCACCTTCATAACGAATTTATGGAGTGTAGCGTGGAAAATTTTAATCTGCCATTCAACTTACCATTAATATAAGCATATATGAATAAATATATCGACTACAACAAAATCACAGTGGTTTATTCGATGAAACAAGTAAACAGAAGTTGAAGGTTAAGGAAAATGGGAAAATATCGACTTGGTCACTGCACATGTGCACAGTTTTCCACATTCTACCCTTACCAATGGGGTAATGTATATTGTCTTCCCTCTCGAACTAGAGCTAATGCGTTTCTCATAAAATATCGATGTAGGACAATAAGGGATGTTTTGAAAAGTACATGAATCGAAGGTTAAAGTTTTGACAGAGTTTACTCTGAAAAAACTCTTCTGTACAATACAGGAAGCGCCAACATTATTGGAAAAAATCACCACTTCTAACAAAATTTCGAAATGGAACAGATGTGCCTCATTCATGAAGTTTTCCAACTATGTTCAACTATACAGTGTGTAACACTGTAACAGAGCCGTTTTTGAATATAAAAAGTAAGATTTTTAAAAAAAGCTCGGACACGTCGATTTCTAATTAAAGAAGGACACCTTTCAGACTAACCAGATTTTTTGTAGTACGCACCCCCTCGGAGGGGTACGTCCGACGACCCTTCTTCAGATAGGGAAATTAGGTCGAGTGGCACCTTGTTTTAAAGGTCTTTTGAATACCTTCACATCTCTGTTGAAAGAAAATTTTTGTAACGATTTATAGCGATGTCAATGACAGGTTCTGGTCCAATGAAGCTGCTTGCAACATCCTCCTTTGCAAGGGAATCACCAGCCTAATTCCTGGCCAGTATTGCCAGGAATCCAAACCAGAGACAATCTGTTGAGTCTTCCTATCGAGAAGAGTCGTTTTTGCCAATTTGCTACCAATTTAGATGTTGCTCGGTAGGAGTCAAGAGCTTTCAACGCCGCTTGATGACCCCAAAGTATTTTTTTCGGCTTGTGTATGAGGTTGGACTCTTCCAAACTCTTCGCATATAATTCAATAGCGTAAATTTTCACTTGGAATACAGTCGTATATGTTCCAAGGCAGGTTGATATCTCTCTCCTGAGTATGCGACTGATAACACCTGCACCAGAACCGAAAGGTATTCTTGATCCATCTGTGAAACAACAACTATCTGATCCTTATGTTTTCTTCTCCTGGAGAATCCAGTCCTCTCTGCTGGGGAACAATACTTCGTAAGGCAGTTTGTAGTTGACAGTTGCTGTGACTTCCAGTGTCAACCAACAATCTGTTGCACTCTGCATTCAATTGATTTGTGCAATTGGCAATGTGCAAAAGTCTGTATGCAGTTCATCTAGCCTCTCTTTGTTTGGGACCTAAATCCCCAGTTCTACCACAAATCTTTCGACATATCCATAGGGACAGTCTGGTTTTGTGTAAAACTTTTTTCAAGTGAGTTTTCATCAAGGACAATGCCAAGATATTTCACCTCCGTTCCAAATGGAATGTGACCTCATCATTGAGGGAAAGTGGCGTTAGATTGTCCAATTTCCTTCTCCTGGTGAAGGAAACAACATCCATCGTGCTTTAGAGGATATCACAAGCTCCCCTGCCCGACGTGGACCTTGCCAAAATGACAAGGTCATCTGCATAGGCTTTTATAGAGTCAACGATTGAGTAGTGGGTATGTAGACCCTAAATTCAAATTTTCATGTACATCTGTGCTGTTTTGCGAATTTTTTCGGGAAAAGAATCATCGCCTGGACTATGATCTTCCATCAGACCTGCGGAGGTAACAAATAATCAGTGATTACAGCGTGGACGAACATATATTTTCATCATCTTTAAGAAATTGTGGTACAAACGCAATGAAAAATTAAAAATAAATACAAATACAAAAATAAGAATCACTCGTCGCCTTCAGGTATCGTGGGGGGTATGCAAATGGGGCCGTTCTGTTGGGGAAACGAGGGGTTGACTGAAACGCCTCCAGCGTAATCCAGCAATTGCTCTTGTTTTATTGGTTGCGCATGCGCGTCCTCAAATTCTTCATCCTCCGCCGAAGCATTGTCCTCAATGTGTTTCTCCAACGCCATGAGCCTCATCTGGAAAAACCGCTTCTCCTCGTTGATGCAAGCCAGGTCTTTTTCTTGTTCTGCTATTATCTGTTTCAGATCCGATATTTTATTCAGGTCTTCTTGTCTAGACTCCCGCCGTTCGTATCTTTGCCTGACTTCTTCGAATCTACAAATAGAAGGAGTGGGTGAAGTGTTTGTCATTATTAAATCGGTATTCAAATGTTCTTTTGTTCTCAAAACGAGAGAGGAAGTTTTGGTTTGACTTTTCAACCAAACTTGATCCATTAGATTTGTTGGTCAACGTACAGAAACAAAAAACTGCACCATGGCAAATAATCACCAAAATATTCAATTATTCAACAAGTAGAAGGCGCCCTCATGGGTTCCTCACTCTTTCCAGTCCTTGCAAATCTTCACATGAAACACTTTGAAACCAGTTTCATTGACATGTCTGTTATATGGCCTCATGAATTTGAGGCTCCATTTTAACTCCTTACATTCCGACCCAAACATTACAATCAAAGTCGAATGAAATAAGTCACTTCCATTTCTGGTTGTTTGCATCAGAAAACTCATTAATTCCAATCAAATTCCGTTTGAAAATATCTCATATGAAGGTTTATCGGACTCAGTCACAGCCACAATATGGATCTAGACGGACTCAAATCCGCCCTTTGCCAAAACAACTATCCCGAATCCCAAATCCAGAGATCCAACCAACTGGAGCGAACTCCAGTTGGTTGGATCCCAAATAGGCCACATCCCAAATAGGCCAAAGAGCAGACGGACCAAAATCTTTTTTTCTTATATGCATAGAGTTACTGCCAAAGAAAAGGCATAATACGAAAACTATACTTACAGTCAACAATCAAATTTTCACTTTTCTACGAACACCTAAAGATATAATGCCCAATGAGGCACACAACATACCATGTTCCACGTGCTCCGGAACTTACATCGGACAGACCATCAGAAGAGTATCCAACAGAGTCTACGAACACGAGCTTGCTGTCCGTAAATCAGATCCAGCTACATCCCTTTTCAAACATCATCTTGAAGCAGACCACACAATGAGCTCCGAAAACACCAAAACCATTGCCACTGAACTGCTTCAACAAACGAGATGATTGACAAAGATAATCTCATTCCTGGAGATCATTACTGTCACGCCATACTAACAAAATTGCACACACGTAAATATCAGAGCAGAACCTGTGGACCCAGAACCAGAACCCAGAACCCACAGTGAACGCTTAGGAGTAGGCAGATTGCCTTCTTGAGGAGTTGGCAGATTGAGACCTTAGCTCCTTTGAAATAACTCTAAAGTCGAAGCTGAAACGTCGAGCAACTGAACAGGCCAGACTCGATGCAACTTGTACTTTAGATTATCAAATTGCGGACCTAGGAAACACGACAAACATGTTTTATATCAAATAACTGAGATTATCTGTGAAGGTCACGGGAACAATAAGAACAGGTAGACTTTTTTTCAGCTTTCATTCGGAGTTTTTCAACTTCTTTTCATTCTGCTATTTTGTACATGATCCTAAATGGATGATATATTATTTTCAAACATTCTGAACCTAAAATCATACCCAAAAATAAGCTGCAGAGGGTTTGAGTTCCTTTTTGTACATGGAGGAGGAGTACTATACAATGTACTGGAAGTACTCACAATTTAGTCAAACAGTTGCATTTTTTCTGTAAATGTTCAATAGTCTCACTGGCCTGCTTCTGAGAACTCATGAATTTCAGTCGGTAGCTCTCCATTTCCTTCTTATGCTTTTCCTCCAACACAGCTATGGTTTCCAGCAAACCCCTGAAATAGTAATAGACACAACAACAAATCATGATGTTGGAAATCAATGGTCCAAGTTAATGACTAGTCCCAGTCTGACCAACTCACCTGACTTTTTGGTCCCACTCTTTCCCATTCTTAGTCGTCTCATCACTTTGTAGGGCAAGCTCTTGGTTCAAAACCTGAATACCACCTTCCAAAGTGTCTACATTGTTTTGTAAATCTTCTATTGTGGATTCCTTGCTCTCCAACTCGTTTTTCAACGAGTCTATAGTCTTAAGCAGTTCCACCTCTCTCAGGCTATGAGATTTCTGCTGGGTGTAAAATTGTTCTTCTAAAGTTTTGTACTTGGAAACATATTCTTCTTCTAAGAGTTGAATAGCCTCGCTTTTTTGGTGGATGAGGTTATCCCACTGCTGATCTGAAATGGGAGAAATATCAGCGAAAGAAAGGTTCTTGTTTTAGAAATCGCAACTACCGCCAATGATGCTTTCTAGAAGCAAAGGAAATGAGGGGGGGTAGTCAGTGATTTTGAGAGTTCATATTTCACAAATCATACCATAGGATTTCAACTAACGAACAATATGTATTCAAATAAACGATGTGACGTGATATCTGACAGATGGAATATATGGGTGGTCCTCAAGGAACGGGTTTGGGTCTAATTTTATAGTTATCGTATACGAAATATATGTTGTATATGAAATATATGTGATATGTCGTCTGAATATACAGTATACAGAGAGTAATGTATTATAATTTGCAAATGAAACCCCAATAATTTTATAAAACACGAGTAATTGATATTAGAAGATATTTGAACAGTGAACATCCTGGGAACGTAAATTTAACCTCCAGCGATTCAAATCCAACGTGAATCGCTGGGATTTTTCTGTAGTGCCTGTGTTTTGTTCTCTTCTTCTGAAAGAAAAGAAGAAAGTATTAAAAATTATGTGTCGCCTTCCATACGACACTGCAGAAATTACACAGTGACAAGCTCAATTATTTTGTGTATTCAAGTATGAGTTTGCTCATCACAAGTTAACAGTTAATGAGTTGTCTTTGGATTATTCATATAAAAAACTCATTTGGAGTTATAATTCTGGCGGAAGCTAATCACATTCCTTAATTTGATACAGAATTGAAAATTGAGAAGCTAGTGAATGAAGCCGAAAAAGCCCAAACAAATTTACCTAATTCATTTCGATGTTGTTGAATCAAAGACTCTATTTTTTGTTGGGATTCCCTTTCCATTTGTTCCTTAACAATTTCCACTGCTGCCCTCATTGAGCCAACTTGATTTTTCCAGAAGGTTTGTAAATCCTCGAGTTTCTTTTCATAATCTGCATTTATTCGGTCTACAATAATTTAGAAAATGTTACAGCTGAACCTCATCGTCTGATTAGTTTAGTATATATTGACTGATTCATTTACCATAAAGAATGGAGTGATAATTGACTTTAATGTAAGTTTTTATTGTTACAAAGAAACGATGAATTGCAGTTCTGAACACAAAAATCATCAGAATAGGAGAATATTTCTCCTAAAAATAAAATTATTCAGTTGTGAAAGTAATGTATTGAATTGAAGGGGTAATATTTTTAGGAGTGATTAATTTTTGGGAATGAAAGTTTTTGGCTTTCTACTACTCATCATAGAAGTATTTGTTTCAAAAGAACTTTTTTCTTTCGTGTAATTCAATGTTTNAGAGTAGAGTAGAGTAGAGTAGAGTAGAGTAGAGTAGAGTAGAGTAGAGTAGAGTAGAGTACAGTATAGTAGAGTAGGGTAGAGTAGAGTAGAGTAGAGTAGAGTAGAGTAGAGTAGAGATGAGTAGAGTAGAGTAGGTTCAGTTAGGTTAGGTTAGGTTAGATAATAATTTTTAATAATTGATAATCCTAGCCAAGCATTAAAACATAGTTGTCATATTGATTAATTTCTATTGTACTAACACTAACTTAATGGCATAACTGCTAGCGAAGCCTCGAGTAAAAGCTAGTATAGTATATAAAACTAATATAGTAATATATTTCATTATGCTTGCATTCAACCATTCATAAATTGCGATTCTTTAAATTTTCACCGAACTTCATCAGATCTAGTTAATGGTGATTATATTCAGAGATAAGTTAGGAAGTTTGATATTCCTCTTAAAGATGATCACTTGTTGATCGAAACACGTGTTGAGGTGTTAAAATGGCGGTTTGGTGTTGGGAAAAAACTCAAGTTATATTCATAGGAAGTTAAAGTAAAAACTATTTCATCCAACTCTATCAGATCGTTTTCAAATTGTTTTCGTCTTGGAGGAGTATAATTCTCAATCAGGAGTAAACTATGATTTTAATAGTACAGGAAAATTCACCTGAATTCTTACCTCATTTCAAATAGGACTATGCGTCCCAAAAGTGATGTATCGTATAGAGTATTGACCTTTGGTTGTTGTTTCATAAATATGGTGACTTTCCTAGCATTTTAACACATTGATAATGATGATAAAACTGGAACCTCTGTTCCACCACTAACGGTTGAGATCGTATTTTCAAAAAGTTGAACGTGAAACCAACTTTCAAAATTACTTGCTTACTTCAACAAAAAATGTTTGGTAACCCTGAAGAAAGAAGCTGTGAGAAGTCGGTCAGACTAAACTTGTCATCAAAACTCGTTTTGAGGAACACACAGTACATTTACAGTTTACAGAAAAATCTGAGTTTGGCCGCTGAGTGAAGAAAATCTCATCGGTTTCGAATCATAAATATCAGATGTCGTCTGTATGAATTGAATGTAAACTCCATTGTCAATGTCAATATGTTTGTCTGATAGGTTGATAAGCTAATATACTATTGTTATAGTACGGTTTGTCTTCAGTCTCAAAATGGGCCTCAGTTTTGTCGATTACCTCTTCATCAGCGCTAATTTTTCCCAGCGAGCATTTTCTTGAGGTCTGAGAGCAGAAAATAGTAGCTGGGGGCCAAATCTGGAGAATGTGGTGGATGCGTTAGCAATTTGAAGACCATTTCAGCTCCAATGGTGATGATTATTAGGATATATTCAAATATTCAACTGAATACCAACGCTGGTTCTACTGCAATTATGACTTTTTAAAATGTCCGTTCCTCATCAATAGATGGTTCAAACAGGACGTTTGAAAAGGTCCAAGTGACGTCCGTTTGATGTCCAGTTACTGAGAGATTGCGTCAGTACGTCTACTGCTTATCCGTAAAGTTCATTACGGATAGCCATTGGACAACCAGTGTGAAAGCCAAAAACTTTCTTTCCCAATAATGTATTGAACAGTTGCATGTAACAGTAGTTTTCGATTTATTCCCAATAGCAGAGGGTTAGATTATTTTCCATATAATAGTATGGTTGAGTCGTTAGAAACGCAAGTTTCTAAATCCACCTAGATTATTTTGTTGCAAAGTGAATAACCTCATGTAAAAATGTGTTTTGGTTGTGACAGGAACCTCCTGTTTTGAACGAAATATCATATATTTCCGAAGTAATTTCATTTCTAGCATTACTGTTTTATCTATATTTTCATTTGATCTCATATATATAATCTTATGTGATAATTCACCCTAGAACTGAAAACGTATACATAATCCCTACTAAAAAATTGTTTGCTAGGTTAGTTTAGGTTAGGTTATGTTAGGTTAAGATAGGTTGGGTTAGGTTAGGTTAGGTTGGGTTAGGTTAGGTTAGGTGAGGTTAGAGTAGAGTAGAGTATTAAAAAGTTGCCTGTAACAGTAGTTTTCGATTTATTCCCAATAGCAGAGGGTTAGGTTATTGTTTTCATATAATAGTATGGTTAAATTGTTAGAAACGCAAGTTTTTAAATGCGCCTAGATTATTTCGTTGCAAAGTGAATAACTTTATGAAAAAAGTGTATTTTGGTTGTAACAGCAACCTCGTGTTTTGAACGAAATAGGATAAATTTCCAAAGTAATTTCATTTGTAGCATTACTGTTCTATCTATATTTTCATNATTTACAGTTTACAGAAAAATCTGAGTTTGGCCGCTGAGTGAAGAAAATCTCATCGGTTTCGAATCATAAATATCAGATGTCGTCTGTATGAATTGAATGTAAACTCCATTGTCAATGTCAATATGTTTGTCTGATAGGTTGATAAGCTAATATACTATTGTTATAGTACGGTTTGTCTTCAGTCTCAAAATGGGCCTCAGTTTTGTCGATTACCTCTTCATCAGCGCTAATTTTTCCCAGCGAGCATTTTCTTGAGGTCTGAGAGCAGAAAATAGTAGCTGGGGGCCAAATCTGGAGAATGTGGTGGATGCGTTAGCAATTTGAAGACCATTTCAGCTCCAATGGTGATGATTATTAGGATATATTCAAATATTCAACTGAATACCAACGCTGGTTCTACTGCAATTATGACTTTTTAAAATGTCCGTTCCTCATCAATAGATGGTTCAAACAGGACGTTTGAAAAGGTCCAAGTGACGTCCGTTTGATGTCCAGTTACTGAGAGATTGCGTCAGTACGTCTACTGCTTATCCGTAAAGTTCATTACGGATAGCCATTGGACAACCAGTGAATGTCGCTGTGTTTACTGGCCTGGCGAAGGGAATATAGGCCATGATAGTTTTGAAGAAACATTTAGACAAACATACTGATGTACACACATGAAATTATTCATATATTCCTCTGGAAAAAATAGTTGAAAGCTCAACGGTTCATTTCTCCTGACTGAAAAGTTCTTTGGGAGAATTCTGATTGAAATTTCCTGTGAATAATTTTTATAGAGCTATAGTGAAATTTCTTTGGATGAGTACCACTACGGTATCATTTTTTAAGGTTTTATGTGTTCTAGTATGATAATATAATTAAATATTTCCGGTCCAAACTGATTTGATAGAGAATGGATGAAAGAGTCTTATTTTTTCAATAAAATCGTCTACAATAAGGTTGTTACCTATTTCACTATCATGTTCTGAAACTAACTTTTCATATTTGTCGTGATGTGACATATCGATCTTATCCATCAGTCGCCTCAATTCTAATATATCTTGATCTGTAGCTGTCTGCTGCCTCACCAATTCTTCTCGGTAGTATTCATCTTTTTCGGCTAGTAGTCGTTTCAAAGATGATACCTGAAATGAAAATCTTCATACATTTCAGAACATTCACAAAAAACAATTTTGTTTCAGAGCCTACGGAAATTCCTCAAAATAACAGTTCTCAATTAATATTCTTCCAAAACAACCAATTGTTGCCAATATGTTAACATAGCAGCACAAGTACCAAACAGTGAGATAACAAGCAGAATATCCACCATAACTTTCATAATAATCAATAATATCTACAAACATAACACCAGAAAGCAAAATCATTATTGATAAGTGCTTTTTCATCTACTCATGAGCTAAACCCATTTACTCTCATCTACATTTTCACATCTTTACAAGCTGTGGATAGTGAACAAACAAATTACTTTTTAACGATGAATTGTTGTTGATTGTTCTTCCACCTAACCTCAAGAGAACTCCACGTGATGCTATCTAGATAGAGATGAAACCAACACACAAACAAGTCTCTGAACAGAAATTCTAACCACCAGCCACAACAAATAATTCTACGTGTGTATAAATAAAAAAGGTGTTAGGAATCACACCTGCAACTGTCAATATTTTTAACTTCTGACATGCTCCCCTACAGGAATCCCTAAATCCCAACTTAGCAATGATCCTTACTGCATACTTCTGTATCATGAACACTTGATCCGCAGAGGACCGTATTGGGAGGATCTTACAGAAACACGACGTGAAACCAATATTGAGGCTTGGGGGCGGAGCTACATACATGAGAACAATGATCCAAAGGATCCAAAGTTGCTGAGGTGTATACAGTTTTCTAGTTCAGAGCGGTGTTGGTTGAATTGAACATCGAGTACGTGAAGGAATGGTTCCTAGAATTATTTGTTACCTTAATTTAATTTATTGGTTATTAAAAGGGAAATGGCGATATGCATGGTTTCATGCAATCGATATCTTGATATCTACCGTGTGACCCATTTAAGATGGAAGCACCCTTATAAAACTTACATTTTTCAACCGATTGGAATGTTTTTTTTTTGTTAGGTAGATATTCAAAAAGTCTTTTTGTATTCCGATAGCTTTACTTCACTCACCTCTTTCAAACACTGCCTAAGCTTCACTTCCCAATCTTGTTGGGCCTTTTCAAAGTCTTCGTCTTTCGCTTGTCGAACGCTTTCCATGGCCATCCACTTTTCCTCATTGTGAATTTGTTCCAGTTCAGATTTCAGCCTTCCACACTCGTTCATCAACCGCTCCTCCCAATACATTGCGATTTCTGTCCTCTTCTCGTTCAGAGTTTGGTTCAGTTTCCTCTCTTTGTCTAGCATCTCCTGGTGGTGCAATCGCTGTATGTGCTGCAGGTTTTCTTTTTCCACTTCTATGAGGTTTCTCAGCTTTTTGGTTTCGTTTTTCAGACTTTCTTCGGACTGTGTCATTTGGGCTTGTTGCTCCAGGAGGTTCTTCATTGTTTTTTCCTGATTCAACGTGAGGTTTCTCAGTTGGTGGACTTCGTTTTCGTATACCTTCAGATTTTCTAACTGAAACATAGCAAACAATGTGAACAGTTTCATTGAATGTCAATGATGAATGAATCTGATGGAATTCTAATTCTATGCTACACTGAAACAGATTTGCTGAGTTTGGTCTCGCCCGAAATATCAGAATGACTTTTGTAATAACTGAAGAGTTTGAAACGACGTTCGATTTGTTGTGTTACTCATCACAGTGTTATTCAAAATGCCACGAGTGTAGAAATCGAATCTGTCAGAAGGTAGCAAATAGACTGCAAAATATTAGGAACCAATCCACTGCAGATGAAAAAGAAATCGCACAAGAAGAAGGTTTACCGTTTTTCAGTAGATCTCCTGTCTTGGCTTCAGAGCTACTTCTTCACTGTTTGAGAATCAAAATACACTGAATTGAATATTTCCACCTCTGTGAGATATCTTGCATAAATGTCTGGCGGATATAATGCAATGCCCAGCGCGATATGAGCCGAGGAAGTAGTTATTCTTCGGCAGCCTGAAATCTTCTGGATGTCCTAGCTTCTGAATTACAAGGTGCGATAGTTTCGAGAAAAAAATCAGATTTGGTGAAATGTAGAATACATTTTCTATGCATCAAAAGGTATTTTTGGTCTCCAATATGATTTTTTGTTCTTGCCAGTGGCGTCCGTGACAGTTATCGCCCATATTTCCGGCTAAGTACGGTAGAATCAAACATGTAAATAGATGAAAAGTAGATGAATGATTAGGATAACCCTAATTTTCACGACATTCGAACTTTAAAAGCTAAACTAAGAATGTTGGCGACCGATTTGACCAATTTTTGTAAATAGAGAAAGAGAGAGAAAATAATAAAGATCAAAACAGTGTGAGATATTATTACTAAAAATAATTCCATGAACTGTTAAGAACAAAAAAAATTCTCGAAATATTTGGTTCATGGAGTCGAAAAAAGCTGAAAGGAAGAAACCTGGAATCATGAAAACAAGCAATAACCAAAAAGAAACTCATTGAAACAAATGTTGAACTGAATTTATCGAATGTTCAATCTCTTACCTTCTCCATCATTTCTTCCGCAGCCTTCATCTTCTTCTCTGCTTCTTTATAAGCTTCCTGGAGCCTTTCATCCACCGCTTTATCCTTATCCTCGAGTCGCTTCTTACAAGTTTGCTGAACCTCCCTTAATTTCCACTCGAAGTCGTCTAAAAGTTCCTGCTCCTTCAGTATATTGATAGTCCTCAGTTTCTCGAAATCTTCTTTCCATTTCTTCTCTATTTCTTGCTTCTGTCTCTGAGCCTGCTGCACAGCCTCTGAAACTTTTCGTTTCTCTTCGTCTCTCTCAGCGATCAGTTCTTCGTGTCTCCTTTCCAGAGCTGCTTTTTCTTCCTTCAATGTATTCAGTTGTTTCTCTAAATCTTCGATTTTTTCTCTTAATTGCCTAACAGTATCCTCAAGTTCCGCGATCTTTGACTTGGATTCCTTTTCGAAGTTGCTGAATATTTCTGTAAACCAATGACTGTTGGTTTGAACAAACTCGTGATATGGCCATTTTTCTCACCTGATTTCTGTGATAACTCATCATTTAATTGATTATTTATCCTCTTCTGGTTATCCAAATCGTGCTCCAAGTTGCGTATCCTCTGCCTAATGGTTTCACACTCTTTAAGGGCAGCATTAAGTTCTGATTCTAGCCCTACAAATGATATGCAATATAAGTTACAGGGTGTTCTATTTGAACCATGCCACCTGACATATATTCGATGGAAGAGGATTTCTGGCAAACCCTGTAGATCCTATGAATGGCGAAGTTGTGAGGAAAGAAGTTGTCACCGATAACTGCGTTTCACTTTTTCGTTAAAGTTTGCAATTGGCTTATTCAGTTACTTTACCGTTTATCATTGAAAATTAGAATTTATTGAAACGTCTTGATAAGATTTTACATCATTTTTATGAATCTCTAAGCTACAAAACGTCCCATTTGAAACTGAAATCGATCTGGCTTCTGTTTTGCCCGGTTTGCTACCATTAAAAGTAAGTCGGGTGAACGCTTGAAATAGTCCACCCTGTATACAATGGATACGAAAACACGGTCACAACATCAAGCGATAGTTTTACGGAACAAAACAACTGTTGAAAGAAGAAAGGTAAACCTAAAGAGTTGATAACTGTGGATGGAATTCTCAAAAACTTACTATCCATTCCTGCTGACTTGGCAAAAACATCTCGCTGAAGCTCTTCCATTTGGAATTTGAGTTTGCTTGCTTCGGCATCTCGAAGTGCTAACTGTTTCGACAGATCGTTCAACTGGCTTTGGAATTTAGCTTCTTGGTTGATGAGGTTTTTCCTGGAACAAGTCGAAAGTTAGAGGATAATTATTGATCGAATTATTACAACTCAGCTTCGACACTATTATTCTAACAGAAACTTGGAATATTCAAGACCGAACTCGCAATTATTGTACTCATAACCAAAATATGGTGTCATCGTCTATTTGAAAAACACATACAAACATGATCATTATATTATTGACATTGCAGGTATTGAAATCAATAAAATTTGTTTGAAATTCCAGGAGGATCATTCTTCAATAAGTGTCATTTGAAGTCCACGATGAAATGAGTAGATCAAACTCATTCCTTGACATGAAGTCGTATTCAATAATCATTTCTGATTATATAAGAATCACAATAACCAGGAGCAGGAAACAACACACACGCACGGAGTCAACAATAGAAGTCAACCGCACATTTGTGGTTCCAGTTAGAAGACCTAGAATTCCCAGGCTACATCTAACATGACCACGTGGGTAGCAATAGCTACCTGCGTGACATCCGGGTCCAGGATATAAATACAAATAGAGATTTTATCTAGTGTGCATGATACAAATCAAAAATGAAACAATTCGTGGACACAACACTCCAAAAAAAGCTGCCTACTAGCGCAGGTATTTGTTCTCTCCTTTCATCCGGATATCTCATATGGTTTCTTTCATTGACTTGTCTCATGAGTTTGGTGTTTTCTTGAGTTATTAGTTACCTCTACCAAAAAATATAGCTGAGAATTGACTTTTCCAGCTGAGAAGTAGCAGCTAACGACCCTAGCAATCTGACTGTTTTAGTTCTTGAGCCTGCTTTGTCAACAAAACCAAAACTTTCATTACAATAAAGCATTTTTGACTCTGGCTGAGTTTCAAATTATCAGTCGCTAGTTATTTTTCGAAGAGTATAGTGAATTGTGACTAAAGACAGTCCACGTCTAACGTTAGTCAGCACAAGCGTGAATTTCACAGCATATTTCGAGAATAGAAACTAGAACAATTATCAGAATAGTGTTCCACTCATTCAAAAATCCATAGGCGTCGCACGTTGTTGGGACTTTTCCAAATTATGTTCAGATACCCAAAAAGATATAAAAACGAACTACCAATCGTCAAACCAAGTCAAACCAGGATGAATAAATTCGTTAACGACGGGTGGTTCAACATTCGAAAATAGGTCAATAAATAGAACTGATCTAGCAGGTCTTTTGAAGTTTGTAGCAGTAACCCACTTCAGCACTGCAAGCCGGATGCAACACAGAGATACGTTTGTGTGGCTTTAACGATATTCTAAAATTAAACCGAATTCACGTGAATCAGTTCATCGTCAAAATAACTTCCTCAATGTTATATGGAAACCCAACGACGTACTGTCATGCTTGAGAACGAATGAAATTTGATGAAATGACGGATATGCTTTCCACTCCTAGTCTACAATGACTTCAATAATAATAATAATAATAGCTAAGTATGTTAAAAAAGTAATATATATCCTTATAATTACAAAGTTATAATTTAAGGATATGAATAACAAAATTATAATATAATAAAATGAAATGAAAAAAAGTACTGCTGAATTATGGAAACCAAATTGGTGGAGTTTTTGTAGAAGGAGCATGTGATCAAGTCAAATGCTTTAGCAAAATCAGTATATATCACATCAACTTGACCACGATTATCTAAGACATCACTAATATTTTGGGTCAATACAATTAAATTTGTTATGGTGGATCTGCTTAACATAAATCCATGTTGTTGCGGAGATATGATATGACTAACTGAGATGATAATTCCGAGACTTTCATATAATGGTGAGTAATTACAAAACTTAATTGAACAAATTATGAATTCTGGTATATTTTGAGGAAATAATTACACTACAACATTACTTTTAGGAAAGCAGGTGATTCATAAATGTTTTATTCATTTATTTCATACACTATTCTACAGGATGAACACAATTACAGAAGAGGGAAAACGGTGGCATTCACAAATATGTACTAACTTAATATAATTTGTGAATCTATATAAAAAGAAACTAAATGAAAAGCAGAACTGTCAGTTAGCTAAGGAATGTCTTTTGATTTGTATAATCTGGCAGTTGAATATATCTAAGACATGACTAACAGAATTAGAGGTATCGCACATTGTATAAATTGGAGATTTTTTCGTTATATTCGTTCGAGGAGAAAAAAAGCGTGATTTTCATCTGAAAGGTAGCAAGAGTAGGTGGGATTAGGTTTCTTCTTACTTTCTGTTCGCAAATTCTCGTTTTGAAATGTTTGTATTCCAAACATTCGTAATGGAATCAAATCAAATATCAATCACTAGTTTGATCAAACTCGTTTGATCTTCCCCTTGAAGATGATCACTTGGGGATCGAAACACGTGTCGGGGTGTTCAAATAACGGTTTGGTGTTCAAATAACGGTTTGGTGTTGGGAAAAAACTCCAGAAATATTCACTAATAGACATAATATTAGGTATCATAATCATATGTTTGATTTGTTCCTATATTTTTGTTTCGATTTCTAAAAGGCTCGTCAATTTGTGTTTAGAACACTTGCGTCGAGGACAACTAACATGATAGAATGTAAATTCTCACGACCAGAGATCCTGGAGACATGATACCGCAATGGACAGTCCATCGAGTCCAGCGGTGGCCGCTTTTTCATGGGAAATTTCGAACAACGGGTCTTAGAGCAAGCGGCCGTTAAACCATATTTGTGGCTGCGTTATGTTGATGAAATGTTCCATAGTTCATCCCTATTGTAGTTCAACAACTGTTCAGTTTCAAGCTTTGAAGGGTGTATAATCCAATCCTAATAAATTCGTGGCAGAATACAGTTTCCCATCGCTGCTAGTTTCAAGGAAACACATCTTTAACTATTCTTATATTTACTACAATTCCAAAACACTGATATAACTGTTCTAAAATCAAATTGCTTTCGCGAATATATATTTGCTGCCGCCAAGAATAAAATGCAGCACTTAAGAACAACCAGCTGACGTTGATTTCAGATGTCATGTAATGAAAATATAATATTTTAGTTTTATTTGACTAGCGTCCCAATAACTATATCTATAATGAGTCGTGTAATATTGGTCATTGGAAAAAAATTAAGCAAAGTGGTTCGTTTAGAAGAAGACTGAAAATGTGTTACGAAAATATACTGTGCAGTAATAGGAATATTTATGTCGTTAATGTTCAAAAAGAATCAAAAATCAATATTGAGTTGGATCCAATGTCAATAGGTGAAATATTTCTACTATGGCAAGTACCAGTTTATTAGAATATGAAAAAGAAATAGACATTTGTGTTGAAAACATGGCGGAGATCTCGATATTGGAGGATCATTCGAGTGACGAAGGAATGGTAACGAATAATGAGGTGAGGAATAATGGGCTATTAGAACTAGAGTCCAACGAAGAGGATGATTTGTTGCTAGAAGTTGGAGAAACACAGAATTCAGAAAGAACATTCGATCATATTTATTCATACTATATGTGAGAAACCCTTTATTCATACAAGCACTTTTGTAGGAACCTATAGCTTTAAAAGTAGTCCTAGCAGCACCTTTGATGTGTGTTTTTTTTTGTTCTTTCCTTTTTTCTTAATAATCTTAGTTCTTTGAATTGATTTGTATTTCTAGTTGTGTCACAATATATATATTTAATGTCCTACTCTGCCGCAATACTAGAACTAAGTGTTTCGTAACAGTTTTATAGGGGTAACATAGTAGCTAAAATACGTAGAAATGGTTGCTACTGATACCAAATTATTTTATAGAACGACGCCATTTTAAATGTTAGTAATTCGGAATACTGAAATTAGATGAGTTACAAATATGAAATACCGCACATATATTAACAGCTGAAAAGTACATAGATATTATAACCTTATATTATTCAGAACAATCTGAATTAGGTTTACGACTAGAAAATTAACACGTCGATATAGTGAATTTTTGTATAATTAATAATTTTTTCAGAAACATTTATAAATGAGTGGCGCGCTCTAATTTTGCTAATAGGCTATATATTTGCCAATAAAATTTCATTTGCAGTAAACATATCAATCTTGGAAACACAAACAATGTCTTTAACAGTTTTATGAGTACAAAAGTGAAATATCAAAATGGCTTCAACCTTTCTATTTGTTAGTTTTCAGTTGGTGAAAAATCTATTATATTTTCTTAGTGGCCAATTACTTCTTTTGCCTTCGAGAAAACATTTTTACACTTTCTCATTTTATCTTCATCGTTTTCGGCTGTATTATATTTCATAACGTTTTTATAAAACCACTCATTGAGAGTATTAGACAAATTTTATAGTAACTGCCAAAATGTTTATAAAACTGTTTTGTAGTGTTTGTGAAAGGCCTTACGAAATATTGATAAATACTATAATGTTTTTTAAAAAGGTACCAATTTCCCATTCATAGCTGTTTTTAAACACATTGAAAACATGTCTGGGAGAAATACAGTTTTATAATGTGTTTCTGAAACGTTTTCGCAACTATTATAAAATACGAAATTGCTAGTTGGGATATGATTCTATTTCTACTTCATATTGTTTTGTAGACAAAAAAAACATCTTGATGTCTTGTAGTCCAAAACTCCAACATCTAGGTATTAATGAAGACCATAGAATGGACCGTCAATCTAGTGGATTTTTGCAGCACTATAAAAGCTGTCTCTTCACCAGAAAACCTCATAAATGTTCGACCATCTTGAACCAACACAGAATGTATGGAACATTATCTATAACATCATCATTTCCTAGTGGATTTTTGTGGTACTCTCAATCTTAAAAGCTGTCTCTCCACTACAAAACATTATAAATGTCTAACTATCGTCAAACGACTCAGAATGTATACAACAGTAGCTTTTTCACGCATTTCAGTGATCTTAATAAATTCGTGCCAGAATACAGCTTCCCATCGCTGCTAGTTTCAAGGAAACACATCTTTAACTATTTCTTTCCAGAACTCAAAAGGGACATCAATACTGGTCTGGGAATGCGATG